TCACCCTGACCGAGATTTCAAGGTGAATGCGGTAGCAAACTGAAAGCTTGGCAGCACTTTGTAATGCGTGGTTACGAAGGTGTTTAGTGGTGCTTCTGAAAGATCTCTCCGTTTTGGGGTCATACAGTCCGGTACATTTTTCTGTTCGGATGCCTTCCGAGTTAGAAATCAGTTAGATAACTTGAGCTGCTCACTGCTGGACATAGCAGCAGTTGGCAGGCAACTTTGGGCACATACATCTAAATATATATATATATGGCACTTCTAAGAACTTTGTATTATCGTAACTCAGCCTGGGAAAATCACTGTTTATGACCATCACTTCTAGTAGACTGTACTGCCAAAGTGTTTCTGTGGTAAAAGTAGAAGTCATTACAGCATCAGCAATACTTGGACCAACTCTGACTCCAGCCCAGTTTCATGTCTTTGCAACTCCACTCGTTTAATTTTGATTGATTCACACTGCTGTCCCGTCAGCCTGTTCCTATTTTTCGAAAGTATAAAGGACAGCGAGGTAAAAGATAGGACAAATGGACTTCTACAGACCTGCTGACGCGTTAACAGCACAGGCAGAAAAGTAGTAGTGCAAGCTACAACTTACTGTGTCAAGGGCCTGCCCGGGTTAGTCACTACATGTGTCACTGTAGCGGAGCGTTCATCGTTCTCAGTCGTAGACCTATGGGCTGAGACTAACAACAAAACGGCAGTCATGGTTTCTCCAGAGGACCATGTATGGAGACGCTCACCTAGGCCGTTAAATTGAAGATGGTAAGAGTTAGTTGGTGAAGTCTGGATCCAGGCTAGCGTCCTGCAGAAAATGGGGTAGCTCGCCCAGTCCGTTCACTATTCAGTGTTTCTCTTGCTCTTCCCACACTCCTTTCAGTCTGCTGCCCTCCCAAATAACTTGATTATATTTCTCTTGCTTTTTCAAGAAATGGTATTTGGTCTGTGATCTCGCTATTTTTCTAAAGAACCCTGGGTCTTTCTCTCCTTCCATTTAATCTTCTCTAGGATTGTTTACGAGCCTGCCAAGAACAGATTGAATCCCTCCTTGAATCCAGTCTACGTCAGGCACAGCAGCACAACGTATCTTCAGAAACAAAGACTGTAGAGGATGAAGCAGACCTTTCCTGCACACCTACTGATGTGCGAGATGTGAACATTTAAGAGGACTTCTTCTAATGGGTTTGCTTGGCGAGAAAAGCAGACAAAGAAAGGGCATCTGAGAAGGAATCAGCATCAGGATCTCCCCCCCAGAAACCCTTTTCTCCAGGACATTTTTATACCAGAAGGGAAAACCAGTCTTGTTATATTTTTTTCTTGCTCTGTCTCCCTTCCATCTGTGACTTCAAACAAACAAATAAACAAAAAATACCCCAAAAACTGTCTTAAAAAAAGAAAAAAATAGTATTTGCATTACCCCCAGGGGTTTGTGCTACAAAAATAGAGGATTTTATACAATAATAATCAACTAGTTTTTATATTAAAGTGTTCTTGTCTGTATGTTGTAAAAATAGGCATTAACACACGAAATGTCTCCAGGGGAGGTATTAGATTTGATTTCTTACATATAAAACAAACAAACAAACCAACCATTTTTAAAGTAGAAGAGGGTTTTTTTTTTTTAGATAGTAAATGAAATATTCTTTTTTTTTCTTTAAAAAGCATAGCTTTAACGCAGTTCTAGGCTTTTCTGTATCTTGCTTGCTTATGCATTTAGTCACTTTATAATTCATCTGTAAATGTTTATTTTATTTCCTTAGTTTTTTTTTATCCTCTTCACCTTATAAATGGTTAACGTAACCCATAAGTTAGCGTATGTTAGTATGCAGCATTATTATATGTTAATCTTTTTTTGTGCCTGTGGATTGCCTGTGCATAAGGCGTTTGTAGGGTTCCAGCTTAGCATTGTTGGGAAAGGCCAATGTACTACTCATACGATACTCTATTATAAAGAGAAACCGAAATAGTGACATAATATATTATATTTTTGTAATCTTCATATTTTTGTAGTTACCTGTGTAAAATGCTGGTCTGACCCCACAGATATTCAGCCTAATTATGGTCAGGTTCAATCCACAGTTTAGTCTTTTTTTTTTGTTTGTTTGTAATATTCTAAAACCATTCCATTCAAAGCACTTTCAGTCCATTAGATATAGGAAATACATTCTTTTATTGTGTGGGAATTTTTTTTTAATGGAATGGTTTGGAAATATATAAGTGCTTGTTCGCAAACTTGGAATTGCAAAGCAAGTGCATTTAACTATGGTGTTAGAGGAGAGGTGATTTTTTTTTTCCGAAGGTTGTGTTCCAGTGAGAGAAATTGCATTCACAAATTGCCGGGATATCTTCCTATCCTTTTCTATAGAAAAGTTGAAGTTTAGAAATCCTTTGGTGCCAACTCATCTTTATAAATTAGGGGCCTTAAAGGTTCACATATAGGACACATAGTTTAAGGATTGTCGCTAGATGTTTTACAGCTGAAGGTTTTTAAACACTAAAATATATAATTTATAGTTAAGGCTAAAAAGAATATTTATTGCAGAGGATGTTCGTAAGGCCAGTATGATTTGTAAAATAATGCAATCGCCCCTTTTTAAAAAAATCTTTCTACCCTTGATGTCGCAGTTTTAACACAGCTTATTAAAGAAAAAAGGACACGCTTCAAAGAACAAACCCCAAACAAAGCAGTCTATTTGGCCCCTTCCTATACATTTTTCAAAAGCAGTCTAACCATGAAAACGCCATAGTTAATAGATATGAAAATTGGAGTACTTGAAAGAAGTTCTTATTCCAGTGTATGCCCCATTTTTTTATTTAGCTACAAATAGAAAATTTGCACATCTTGGCTATGTATCTTTTTATTATTATTTTAGAAAGTAGCTGAAGGGACGTGGACATAGCTGTTGAAGTTGATGCTCGAGGAGAATGTGATGGTGAAATGTATGTGAGAAAACTGCCGCTAAGGTGTTGATTGTAAAAAAACAAAACGACAAAAAAACAACAAAAAAAAGAAAAAAGAAAAAAAATTTAAAATTAAAAAAAAGAAAAAGAGAAAAGAAAAGGAGTGGATCCTCCATTTTTATTGAGCTGCTATGGATAAATTCCCAGCATGGTTTGAAAAAAAAATTAACATTGCTTTTCTGTATCTTTGTCATTGTGTTTTGCTGCTATTTTGTGGATCAGTTTTTTTTTTTTGTTATACAATGTCATATACTGCCATGTTATAGGTTTTAATTTTCTCATAGAAAATTATATTATTGACATCATTTTTTTGTAGATTTTTTATGTGATCAATTTTTACTTAATGTGATTACTGCTCTATTCCAAAAAGGTTCCTGTTTCACAATACCTCATACTTCAGTTAACCGTGTCTAGACCAGGTTTTAATGTTCGTACACAGTGCCTCATAGTTCTACTGCAAACGGAAATGCATCGAACGTTATTCTGAATGGGTCTCGCGATTTGCAACTAGGTTGCATTAATTTAAAAACAGCAGACATTTCAGAAGATCAAGTAATGTCAGTTTTTTTGTTATGCATTTTATAAAGCTGGATTCTTTGTCTGATCTGGGGTTTATTATCATAGTAGTTTTAAGCTGTGTTATTAGCCACATTGATATATGAAAGGTGCATTATAATATAACTCTTGTATGCCACCTGATGTGGCTTCCCGTCAGTTGGGACACATCATTTGGTATGATAGGTTATCTTCTGGAACTCTAAGTATTTTGTGTGTTTAATCTGTTATGATATACTAGGTTTTTGTTTGTTGTTTTTGGTTTTTTTTTTTTTTTAATTATAGCATAATGCTAATTTAAAAAGCCTGTAAATCTCATAAATAAGCCAGCTAACAGAGTTGTATGCTGAAGAATAATCTAGCTGTTGCCTGTATGCTGCTAAACCAAAACAGAATTAGAACTCATTTTGAGGCAAATGCAGTTAAGATCTACATAGTGCATAAATAAAGCATTGCAATGCTACTAGCAGTCGCAGGACCCAGGAGGACTGGATACATTCTGTCCAAATTTCAGGAACATTTCTTACTGCTTACCTCATAAAACACTTCTGTTTGTGGCATCTCTGTGTCTCTGAACCAAACATGATTATTGAGTTAGTGCTTGTTGGTTATATTATGTGTTACACTGAGTGGCAGTGCGTACTGCAAATTTCTTTAAAATATTGTATGTACTAAAAGGCCAAATCCAGATTAAGTGGGTTCATGTGCCAACAGAGATGCTTTATTTGTCACATTATTATAACAATCTGTAGTAAGCAAGCAATTCAGATTTGTACATTTTTATATTGTACTTATTGGCATCACTGGTCTGAAATGCACATTTTCACCAACAGACCTGTAACAGACAAGTTTCCAGCAAAAAAACTAAAGTCTAGAAATAAAATCGGTAAAACCCAATGTCTGCTTGTTGTCTTCTTTTCTTTTTTTTTTTTTTTAAACTGCCTTCATGAATGCTGAATGCTAATAATTACCTGATGCAATGAGTAAACCACATGACATTTTCTGGTTTCACTCTCTGTGCTTTAATAGTTGCAATGCCGAAAACCTTTTGTCGTTATTTTAGGAAACCGTAGGCGTTTTTTAGCAATGGGTGGGTGAATGACTGTCACAGTAATGCGTATTTTTAAAAAAGCAAAATAATTTTTTTGCTGAAGACTTTCTTTTAAACATCTAAGGTAATTACTCAGAGTAAAACACCATTTGGTGGTTCTTTTCAATAAAAGGTAAAATAGATATATAGGTGTTGCATGGTACAGAATGCTTGTTTGTATTTATTTATCAGTGTAAGGCTTTGTCCTAGAATACCTTTACAGAAGATAATTTGTTTTAAAAGCGGTAAGGTTAACCTGCCTTCTTTTCCTTCCCTTTCCCTCATATAAAGCTTTTGCATCTTATTATTGTATCACTACGATAATAAGAAGTAAACCAGAAAAATGTAAAAGCCTACTAAAAATACGTAAAAACCCTGGACCTAGGACAGAAATTATATATGGTTATAAAGTAAAATAAGAAAAAATTATAACCTGCATCCCAATTCACATGCCAAAATGTTGCTGAAAACTGGGGATGGAGATTATCAATTATTACAAGAGCTGAACATGGCAGAGACGGCTTATTCTTAGTGGAGAATGGTCAAGCTTCTAACCTAGGTATTTGACTATTTACCCCATGAAAATATTTCTGCCTTAAAAAAACAATCTACATAAAACGTCAAGTGCTTGTTTCTCCTGTTGCACGTTAGAAATCCAGTATCTGCCTCCTGAGTTTCTCATTGACTAAACTTCACATTACAACTGATTCTATGCAGCAAGTACGGCAAAGGAAATAAAAAATGAAACTCCCAAGTTAACACCTAACATGTTAATTACAGACTAGTGCAAAATAAGTTTGTCTCAGTGCCGTTACCAATAGATGGGAAACCATCTGCATCAGAAGAATCACAGTTGAGCCTGTATTAGGTTGTCAGTTGCCCAGTCATTTCGGACAGAAACCTGAACCACGTGGCCTACTGTAAAATCATAGATCAGGTAGGTAAAGTAGTATCAGTACATGGTGTGATCTGTAATTCTTTCCATTCGAAATGGGGAGCTCCTCAATATGGTCAAGTCACACCGGTAGGCCACCGAGGAAGACTTGTATAGCAGTGAAAGAAGGTCTAAACTAGATTCACAGTGACTTTAAATACAGATCAAGCCAAAGCTTAAATTTGACTCGGTCAAAAAAGACTCATTTTTTCCACACAGATCTTTTATCAGTTTTCTGCAAAATTTCAGCATATTTGAAAGACAAACAGGAAAAAAAAAAAGACTCGCTTTTATATCACTGATGGCTAACCCCTGATTTTAAACATTTGAAATTTGAGTGAAGAGATACTTCTGAAATCTTGATTTGGGACAAAAACCTTTTTGCTGATAAAAAAAAATGATTCAATGAGAAATTTAAACCTGCATTTTGCTGAATATGTTAAGTGGGTTTTAAGTGGGTTTTGCCTCTCCTATCTCTGTTATAAACTCTATTAAACCAACTGAAGTGTTCTGTGACTTAAGTAGGTTTAAGCCCACATAGTCAGCTCTGTTATTTACATTTTCCTTCTCTCAAACATCATCTCCAAATGCAGACTACTAAATTTGAATGTTGGGTGAACTATGCCAGTATTACTCACATTGCAAAGGGCAGAAAGACAAGAATGTAGCAAGAAAAACAATTTACTATAGGCTGTAAAAAATATGCATGTTCAGCTAAGCTATGCTGTAGCTAATTAAAGAGAAAAATACTGTATTTTCTTACATCAGATTGAGACGTATACACAGAAAAACCTCCAAAAGACATCCAAAAAACCTCCTCAATTCCATTGCTGAATTCAGACTGATTGACAAGCTTGGACCTTTTATGAACACTTAAATTCACATACTCTTTATTAAAGAATAAACAAGATCTGTAAAATGTAAAAACTTGGAATCCACTTACATTCAAGCGTATCTGGCATTTTAAGTGATAGGAAACTCCAGGAGAAAGTGAAGCTTGGAGCTATTATTTCAAAG